TGGTAGTTTTTTTTTATCAGAACCATAGTTAACTTTGAAGCATAGAATTATAGAGAACTTTCATTTTATACTTCTTATATTTTCTATAGTTTCAACATAGTGAGACCCTGTCTTAAAAAAAACAAAAATAAATAAAATAAATATATTAGCTGTAAGATGTGTGAAAAGGGTTAGAAAAGATGTAGAAGTCCTGGAAAGTATTCTAGCACATTGCTTAGTAGTTGATCTTGTTACATTTCTAGCTCTAATAGTCACTTTTTTGTGTTAGCTAAAAAAATATCCTGCCCATAATTTCTAAACAGAAAAATCTGTGCATACATCATGATGTATGTGTGCAGTGGGACCACATATATAAATTTAGAAAATGTCCCCGAAAACAGAGTGTGCCAGAAGAAAGATACTAGCCCTTCAAATAATCTTTATCAGTAAAAAACACTGATCCCTCCACACACTTCTGAGGTATGGTTTCTTAATGATTTGTTTTCCTAGTAATTGCTGTTTACCTTTGAGTCTGGTTCTTCACCCTTAGGAGGAAACCTTTCTGGGGAAATTAAAAGCTATTAGGCATGTAAAATAACAAGTTTGATAAGATGTCTAGCCTAACCTTTAATTTTTAGATATCTAAGTAAATAACCAGATAAGACAATGAAGACTACACTATCTAGCATTTTCATAAAGGAGCAGTGTGGAATTCCATGGCAAAGCCATTTTCATTATCATTGCACCATAATTGAAAACACATCAAGATTTTTAAGGGACCTTATTTCCTTGCATTGATCTTTCCTGGAGTGCCTAGCAAATGTGTTGACTAAAAGAGTATAATGCACAATGGGTATTATCCTGATTAACATTCATGAGTCCTAGATCATAGCATTCTGGTCATTTAATCCTAATTTAAGAGAAGGCAAAATTGGATAGGCCTGGGAAGCAGTGTGACTAAGCTTTAACATCTGAGTATATAGTCCATGTGTTTGTGAAAGTAAATTCAACTCCCAGTGGTAAAAATTATTAGGATCAACTAAACAAGTAATTTATAACAATTTTTTTTCTTGAGGCTTACAGATTTTTGGATTGCCTGTGATCCTTTTTTCTTGTTAAGTTCTGTATAACAATTTCCATTCACTCTGTCACCAGGCTTACCATGGTGGTAGAGGTAAAGTACCTCGAATTATTTATTTGGTAGAGCTTTTCTTTACCACCCTCAGTATTAGACAGAAGGAAGTCAGCCATCATATCTGCTAATAAGTTATTTGAAGAGGTGCTTTAAAATAGCACATTAAATTGGCCTGATATTTAATTGGGTTTTTAAGACACAGCAAGTAACTTATGCATTTGGCTATGCTGTTTGAAGAATGGGTCCATCTGACCTACTCTTTCTCAGCTGTGCTATTAGTTCAAGAGTAAACATTAATGTGCTTGTTCAGTTGTGGTAAGGCTAGGTGGTGAGTGCCTAAGTACAAAATAATTAATATAAGGCTTTTTGCTTTAAAATACTTTTTTCCAGGCATGTTGGCACACACTTGCAATCCCAGCACTCGCGAGGCTGAGGCAGGAGGATCGTTGTGAGGTCAAGGCCAGCCTGGTCTACATTAGAGAGTTCAAGTCCAGCCTGAACTACATAGTGAGACCCTGTCTCAAAACAAACAAACAAACAAAAGATACTTTTAAGGCACTTTATCTACTTGCCCTTCTTTTTACCTATTTGAAGAAACACTAAAGCACACCAACTCGGACTTAATGATGAGGTAGCGTGCTTGCCTTAGCATGCATGAGGCCCTGGGTTCAGTCCCCAATACTAGAAAAAAAATTAACAAGACCTAAAAAATATAAACACACAAAAAACATAAAGCACAACTTTGCAATTGCTTTTTGATTTGCTTTTCCCAAATTGTCAATATTTTGCTTAAATGCACTGAGTCTAACTGAGTTAAAGGTTGTTATTGAGATCTCATTTCATTAGAGAGGGAACTGACATCCACACATTTTTGGCAGCAGTATCTTTATTTACAATATAAAGGTGGAGAGCGCTTTAGGAGGTTGTTCACCAAGGGCGAAACAGACAACCGGTGGAGCTAGCAGGCCTGGAAGAAACCAGAGTAGACATCGTCCACAACAGCAGCTGTGATACAGGTTCTCTACGGCGTAGTTTGGGGTGAGAGGAAAGACAAGATTATTGTGCATCTGTATGTTGCTGAGCCACGTGACAGCAGTGAGACTATGAACGAGCCCCCTATCCATGTCTTGGCTTGAGCTAACATTCTGCCCACTTCAGACATGGACCGTGGACCATGGGGAGATAGAGTTGTGAGGGCACTGCCCCGGTTTGTAAGCTGCTTGGCCTACAGTCTTATATTTTTATTTTTTATTTTTTAATTTTTTTTTTGGCACTGGGGATCAAACTTGGGTCCTTGCGCTTGGGCAGCAGGCACCGAAACCACTGAGCTAAATTTCCAGCCCCAACAGTCTTAAATTTTTAGATGGGAAAGATTTTGCTAAACTTGAGGCTGCTGGTGAGCTTTATTAATATGGGGGAAGATGACGAGTATTAATTGGTTCTTAGATTGCCCAAGAAACATTTCCAACTTGCCACAGCCATCTCTGTATATCTTTTATCTAAAAATCTGCAAATGTTATTGTACTTCCCTCCCACACCACACCCCCATGTAGGTGGTATTGGGAAATGTGCCCAGAACCTTCTGAAAAAAAAAAGATAAGCAGGGAAAGAAATCATAAAAGCCAGGAGAGGAGAGCTTCTGAACAGGCTGCCCATGCCATCAGCAGAGAAGCTGATAGAGGAGGAGGTGCCGCTGGAGACTGCAAAGAGGCACTGATGGTCTGTATTTTTTCCACCACCAAAATGACTGCACAGTGGGTTGAAGTCATTACCTTGGCCCTGGATTAATCTCTTCAGTAAAACCAGCTTTGCTAACTGCAATAAGTCATGTGAACATGCAGTGGGAAATACTGTCTAAAAGAGCAAATGCTGACCTGTAGGCATCTCCATACATTGGTTTGTTGTTTTCCTCTGTGACACTTAGGATACTTAAAATTATAGCACCTAAGGTAAAAAAGTGGGTTTGGATATACACAAATACTCGCTTATATTCTACTGGTGCAATGTATATCGTTCGGCTGAAATCTTCATTACTGTTTATCTTTGAAGCTTAATCTTACACAAGAAAATATTTTGAAAATTTCACTCACTACAAATATTGAATACCTTTTTACATGTATAAGATTCTGAACTAGATGTCAGGATGTATAGCTCTTTCCCCTTTATTCCTTTAGGATCTGTCTTTAGATTTACCACAGTAAAACAGGCTATGAACTCTGCTCCCTCCTTGCTTCACAGAGTAGCCTAAAGAAAAAAAAAAACTTGCCCAGCTATATATTGAACAAAGATGAATCTTAAATAGAAGTAGACTCAGGTTTTTCTTTTGGGCCTGCTGCTTGACTGCATTGTCTGCTTTCATTCTTGATGTGAACCGTGCTGGATAGAGCTGAAAGCACAAGTCATTGCTCCCTGATGGCTGTTTTATGACCTGTGGAGCCATACCAATTCAGTTTTTGGTTTGTTCATGTTAACTGCCTGTGCCTAAGCTGCACACTTGAGCTTGATCCTTCTGCTACAGGCTGGTACCACCCCTGCTGAAGAGTACTTGTTGCAGAAGAAGGGAAGGTTGTGTGGCTGTAATGTGTGGTTTGCTGTTCTGGTTTGAAAGTGGCCATAACCATGTTACTTCCATTATGCAAAGATTTTAATCTGTAATGTTGTACATTTGCAAAGATACTTGCTAAAGGCTTAGTTTAATGGATTCTCCATGGGAACCTCTTTAGAATTAGTCAGATTGTGAGAATTTCAATTCAGATTCTCAAACCATCCTGTTTATTTCAGGAAAATGAAGTTTACTTTAGATTTTGAAGGAAGGGCTTATTACAGTTTAAACAGGAGTTCAGGAAAAATTTAAACCATGTAATAAAATACAGTATGTCACACACCTTAGAACCATTCATTAGTTTGTCTGTAACTAATATTAATTGAAAGCTATTTGCTATTTATTAAAAGCAGTCTTCCAAATATCCTTCAAACATCTAGTTCTGATTTATTTCATTTAAGGAAATTTTTAATACAAGGTTTACCAAGTCATTATTTCTTCCTTCAAATTCATCCTAATTAGTTCGAATTTACTAGGGTGTATATGTTTTTAAAATTTCTCTTCCATCAGTATATTCTGGTATTTTAAGTTTTTACTGGGTATGGAAGGTCCTGAGGCTATTCCATTGGCTTTTTGAAGCATAGACATAGGACTGGGCTCTGAATTTTGGCACCCTAATGCCCAATCACCATTTCTAGGCCTCACTTCATAAATCTTTCAAAAAGCAAAACACTGCAAACTTCAGAATAAGAATTGCTACAAGAGAATATGCAGGGAAGACAAATGAGAAGCACTGTGAGATCATACCTGTTTTCTGATGGCTTTGGGAAAAAGGGTGAAGAGTTTATCAAGGTTATAAGAGGGAAGAAAATTTAATGGAATGGAAAAAGACTTGTAAAATTGGACAAATGTTAAAAGAAGTTGGCTCTTAAGCTCCCCCTGCTCCCAGCCTCAAATTGTGCTGCAACAGTTGGAAAGAGGAAGTAACTGGCATTCAGAAGTCCAAGAGCAACCTCTGTCCTCTCATTTCTGGTTGGAGAACTTACTGGCTTAGTAGAAGCCACATATGTTGGCTTTTAAGGAAGATGATAGC